GAGGTTCCTTTAAATAAATCTTTAGTTAGCTAATGAATTGTATAATACAGTAGTTTGTATAATAGATATTAGTGAACTTCTATATTTGCTTCTATATTTTGTTTGGCGTTTCTTGGAAATGCAAAGCGTAAAAAGTTTTAGTGACACTGCAGCTTTCGGTTCGTTGTACGTCTTTAGTTTCGTTTCCTGATTAGAAGTCGTAACATAGGACTTTAAAAAGTGGGAAAAGCCTCAGTCTCTTCTCCACTTTGTTAAAAAAAAGCTGATTTTTGTGAAACAAATGTCACATTTTACACCTTACAGTGAGTTAAATGAGCTTTAGAAGTAGATTCAATACTCCTAAAAACTATTTAATCATCTCTTAGTTTATTTGTCAAGTTGTGTTTTGGTCTGTTAAACAAGGTTCCTTTAAATAAATCTTTAGTTATCTAATGAGTTCTGCATTGATTTACTGTCTGATGTGGGCGATTTGTGAGTCGGATAAAGAAAATATTGCTTTGGTTTAATGGATTGTATAACAGATATTAGTGAACGTCTATATTTGCTTAGATATTTTCCTGATTAAAAGTCGACACAAAAAGTGGGAAAAGCCTCAGTCTGTTCTCCACTGTATTAACGAAAAAGCAGATTTTTGTGAAATAAATGTAACATTTTACACCATTTTACACCTTACGGTGAGTTAAATGAGCATTATGATTATGTTTATAGTAGGTTTAAAACTCCTAAAAAACTATTTAATCTTCTCAGTTCATTTGTCAAGTTGTGTTTTGGTCTGTTTACCAAGGTTTAAATTAGCTAACTAAAATAAATCTTTAGTTTGCCAATGAATTCTGCATTGATTTATTGTCTGATGTAGGCGATTTGTGAGTCGGATAAAGAAAATATTGCCTCTCCTTGCCTATAACTGGTGTGATGGATGTATTTGAACCATCGGGGACATTCCTCGGGACAATAAGGCTCTCTGTGCTGCTCTCTGGCCGTTCGATGGCTCTGGAAGTGCAGAGCACCACTGTATGTTTACAGTAAAAGTGGGCCGGAGCCGGGCCGGGGTCAGAGGTCAGCCGCCGGGTCACATGCTCCGGGCCACGCCCCCCCCCCCC